CTTCTTTCTCTCTCCCCCTTCTCCTCTCTTTCTCTCATTACCCCCCTCCTTTTCTTTCTCTTTTTTCTTTCTCTCTCTTCTCTCTCCCTCTCTTCTTTCTCCTATCTCCTCCTCCTCGCTCTCTCTCGTGTCCTTCCTCTCTCCTTTTCTTTCTCCCTCCTCTTCTTCCTCTTTTTTCATGCTCTCTTTCTCCTTCTCTTCTTTCTCCTCCTCGTCACTTCTTCTTCTTTCTATTTTCTTTCTCTCTCCCTCTCTCTATTTTTCTATCTCTTCTTTCTCCTCTCTCTCATGTGCCCCCCCTCTCTCCTCTTCTTTCCCTCTCTTCTTCTTTCTCATTTCTCCTCCTCTCTCTCACGTCCCCTCTCTCTCTCTCTCCTCTTTTCCCCTCTTCCCTCTCTCTCCTTTTCCCCCTCCCTTCTCTCTCTCCTCTCCCTCTTTCTGTCTATATTTCCCCCTCTCTCTCCCTCTCTTCTTTCTCATTTCTCCTCCTCTCTCTCTTTCACCCTCTCTTCTTTCTCTCTCCCCCTTCTCCTCTCTTTCTCTCATGCTCCCCTCCTCCTTTCTTTCTCTTTCTTTCTTCTCTCTCTTCTCTCCCTTCTCTTCTTCTCTTTTTTCTCCTATCTCCTCCTCCTCGTCGCTCTCTCTCACGTCCCCTCTCTCTCCTCTTCTCTCTTCTTCTTTCTCTTTTTCTTTCTCTCTCCCTCTCTCTATTTTTCTCTCTCTTCTTTCTCCTCTCTCTCTTCTTTCCCTCTTCCCTCTCTCTTCTTTTTTCTCACTCTCTTTTCCCCTCTCTCTTTTGCCCACTCTTTCTCTTCCCCATCCTCCTCTCTTTCCCTCTTCCCTCTCTCTCCTTTTCTCCCTTCTCTCTCTCCTCTCCCTCTTTCTGTCTATCTTTTCCCCTCTCTCTCACCCTCTCTTCTTTCTCATTTCTCCTCCTCTCTCTCTTTCTCTCCTTTTCTTTCTCTTTTTTCGTTCTCTCTTCTTTTTCCTCTGTCCTCTCTCTCTCTCTCTCCTCCTTGCGCTCTCTCATGTCCCCGCTCTTCTTTCTCTCCTCCTCCTCCTCCTCTCTCTCTCTCTTTCGTTCCGGCTGCAGTTGTGCTTTTCGTCCATATTTTCACTTTCACTTCTCACAAACTCGTCTCCACCCGCAGCAGATTTCAGACGAACATTTAATTTAATTTTATTTATTTTTTTTACTTTTGTACTAAAGCAAACACGTCACCGCTCTGCTTTACTCAGATCCACTTTAGACTTTTATTCTCAGGTAAAATATCGAGTATTTTCGCAGACAGTCGGACGTACTCGGCCCAAGAGATTTGATTTTTGAAGCGCTTTAGTTTAGTTTTTTTTCTTGAGAATCGGAGATGCTCGGTCCCAGGTACAGGATAAAGATCGCTCTGCCTCTGTGGATGCCCGTCATCGTCATCAGGGTTGTACTGGCTCACAATCTGGTATGTTTTCAGTCTCGGGAAGTTTGATTTTGTTTTATTTTTAGTAGAAACAAAACAGAAGGGATGTAAGAGGGAAAGAGCAGGAGAGAAAACACAACTAAAAACGTCTCCCTTTCGTTTCTTTCTTTCCCTGCTCCTTCTCCCTCCTCTCCTCTTCTTTCATTACACCCTTTGTTAATTATTTATTATTTACTTATTTATTTCTGCTTTCGTTTTCTGTCTGTGCTGCAGACAACGAAACTTAAAGCCGCATCGCTAATTTGCATAAACTAAGCGAAGATTTTTTTTAAAAAAAAACAGCTCTTGCGTCGCTGATGCGGTTCAATTTCTGTCGGATTAAAGGACACGACTCAGTGGAATACAGGACGGAATTTCTTGTACAAATCATCGTTAAATACGCATTTGTGCTTCGGTACGTTGCAGACTGACCCACTGTTTGTTCTTAAAGTTTGTATGGAGGATTTTTTTTGTTTCAAGTTGTCAGTGATAGATTATAGATGCAGTCGCCTTGTAATTATGATGACCAAAAAAAAGAGAATAAAAATTCATCAGCTCTGGACGTGGTGGGGCTAAACATTTGCCAATAGATAACGACACTGCCTCGTTATCTGTGAGCTGACAGGCTGTCAATCAAATCTCCCTACGTTTCTAGTGTAACTGACTTGCCTGCGCCGCCGTTACGTGGTTTACGTACGACTGTCACGCAGTCCACAGACGCAAGACGCACAGACGCTGTTTACTCCACCAACGCAACAGTTCTTAGCAGCTTTTTTGACCTATATCTTCCTCACAGTTCACACAAAGTTTGTTGCAATGACGACAAGAATCCAGGAGCAGTTATACCCAAAAGAAAGTCCGTTTTTGAGGTCGATGAAAGAAGAAGACAAGGGGAAAAGCAGCGAAGCCAAACTAAGGTGATTCTTGGAGATTCATTCCAGCGATGGCGCGACTGAAGCAGACAAAGAGTCTAAAGACTGAAGCACCGGTCCACAAATTACTCCTGGACAGGAAACTTCTGCTTATTATGAAAACGTACAGGACACGAAAGCGATATCCTATGTCTGAAAACGTCATTTTCAAGGCAAAGAAAGAGTCCGCTTGCTGCTGCGTGTTGTAGCTAGTTCATTCGCACTGAATCTCCACGCAACCTTCTCTGCTCCTCTCCCCGCTGCCCGATCCGCTCTTCCCCCCTCTCCTCACTTCTCGTCTGCGCACGAAATGTCCGCGCACCCCCTCCCCTCACTCCTCACTTCTCCGTCTTGCTTAACCAACACTGTAGTTAGTTGTTTACAAGTCATGTGCAGCGGCTGTAAACAAACCTGTTTGTGGCGTAAGGAGGAGGAGGGAGGAGGCGTTTCTACGTAGGAGCTGTGGGGGAGGGGAGGTGGTTTCACACATGCGCAACATTTGAAAAAGGACAAACAGTCGCTGGATTCTCGTTCCTTGGAAAATCCTCTATACAACCTTTAATGATCAATTATCGATTCACTGACTAATCATGCCCATCCTTATAGTCGATTAATCGATAATTGATCATTAAGAATTCCATCGATTACGTTAATTTTAATCGACAAACTGAATGTATGTTGCTGTGTGTCGTGACCAAACAGGTGTGTACATGTGTCTCTGCATCAGAAGGAGCGAGACACAAACAGTGGGTCAGTCTGTAACGAACCGAAGCACAAATGTGGATTTAACGATGATTTGGACAAGAAATTCCACACTTTCCGTTGCGTTGGGACAAGTGTGAGTCCATGTGCACAGTGGATAAAGCAGCACATATGTTTCTGTGTCCAGTGGGAAAAAGTTTTACCAGGTGAGAGTCGCTCAATGTGGATGACGAGGCCCCGCCCCCCTCCCCCCGTACGCTGTCCTGGTTTTGACAAACACAAATCTGGTCACACTAACCTGTATTCACCTGAGTCGTGTCGCATCAGCGCTCAAGAGCTGATTTTTTTCTTCGCTTAGTTTATGCAAATTAGCGATGTTTTTTTAAGTTTAGTTTCTGTGAGATTTGAACAAAACTGAATTAAACACATTATAATGTCAAACGGGCTGATGAGGCTCTAGAGTCGTTACGGTTTATATGTCGTAAAGTTGAATTTATTTATGCAGATTAGTGCAGATAGTAATAATAATGATGATAGCAGGTAAATGATGATGAATATAAATATCTGGGTACCTTGATGGACAATAAACTGAAATTTGACCTAAACACTGAAAGCATCGTCAAACGAGGGCAGCAAAGATTATATTTATTGAGGAAACTGAACTCTTTTAACATGAACAAAATGATTCTTAACAATTTTTATTGTTCTTTTATGGAAAGTCTTCTTACTTTTTCTTTTATTTGCTGGTTTGAATCCTTGTCTGTGAAGGATAGAAACAAACTTCACAATATTGTTAAAACCTGCTCAAAAATCACAGGGATCAAACTGAGGGAGCTGCTCTTTGTGGGAGGAGCAGGTGCTGAGCAAAGCTGAGTGTCTCGTGGCTCAGTCGCTCCATCCTCTGGCTCCTGATTTGATCCTGATGCCTTCAGGGCGTCGGTTTTATGCTCCAGTACAGAAAACCAAAAGGTTTTCTAATTCTTTCGTGCCCAGTGATATTAAATTGTTAAATTCTAAGGGTACAGTTTGAAGTGTATTATTCTGTTTCGCGTGTCAGACTACGTGGATTATGATTATGACTATTCCCTGATCTCATGAAAACTGCCACTTTAATTTATTTAATTTTTGAAATTTGCGCTTAAGTTTATGTTATGATTTCTCTTCTGTTACAACCTTAGGGACGTTAATGTTTGTTAAATCAAGTATTTGTTTAATATTGGCCTCACCACAACACGACTCCCAAACCCACAGGCAGTGATACGGACGTGGTAAGGCCTTTAAACCACCAAAGTGTCCAAACACAATGAAAACACTTCATATTTACACGTCACAGTGGGCCCAGCCGTCTTGGAATCTGACTCAGAATCCTTGCTCCGTCTACTTTTTCCGCCACCGAGGTCAGAGTCGCGCCGTCCCAGGTGTCTCTAGGCAACTTCTTCAGAAAACAGATTCAGAAGGACAATCAAACGCAGGGACGGTTTACAAAATGGTTGCCAGTCGAGGTCTTTATACTCCCACCAATGAGAGGGAGGTCCCAACGTGAGGTCACCCAGTGAGATCTGCCCACTGACTTAGATGGTCCCAGTCAAGCAGAAGTAAACAACAAGGCCAAAAATTCAAGTTAATTCATCTGATATAAAACAGTATTGAACAGATACATATGTACTCTAGTTTATGAAACTGTTGACCTTTTTTCTGTTCCATTTTTGGTTCTAAAGTTCCATACGTTTTAAACAGACCATGTATGAAACATGGAACAAAAATTATTTCCCAAATTTCAAAGACCCAAAAATCCTGTAAATAAATGGATGTATTTCATCATATCTTGTGTTATTCCATCTTTGAACTGTTGATGAAGGGACATGATTTAAAAAAAAAAAAAAAAAGGATTTAAAATTATAAAAATTTGCTTGGAGGGACTGAATTTTATAGAAATAGTTTCCTTTCATTTTGAAGTAATATTAAAGTATTTGGAAGAAAAAAAGCGACAAATGATGTAAAATCCTGCACCTTCTACTTGCTTACACATTTTCCCTCCGTTACTTTTCTCTCCGTTACCATGAACTTTCTTAATAAAAAATCTCATGAGTCAAAAAGTAAGAGATTTTTCAACCTAATCTTGTACCATATGGTAGAAAACTATATGAAGCAAATATTCAAACCAGTTTGTTAAGGATATGTAAGTGAGAACCAAGAGTTATCACTGTTTGGATTTATTGACCAAAAAGTGCTGCATATTTCATTCCCTCCGTTACCGACATGAGTTTTTTAAATTTTTGTCAACAACTTGAAAGAATATGACAGGTTTAACTTGACCCTGTTGGAGTGTAACTCTTTCCTACATTCTGATACTTTACTTATTTCAATAGTTCCTCTAGTTTCTGAATAAGAGACATTTGAATGTCAAAAATCTGCCCGTTTCCCTCCGTTACCACTTGACCGGACCCAGATATTTACATAAAAAACACTCTTATAAAATACAAAAATAGGTTGAACATGTCACAAAAAGCATCATAGGTCAAAGTCCACATGAAGTCTGTTGGCGAATCTAGAAGTGCGCTTTTTCCGACAGGAGCATTTCCATATTCCCAAATCTAGAGGACAGTTTTACAAATCTGCAAGGAGGATCCGTCTCCATGCTCCATCGCAATGCCCCCTCAGACTCTTTCATGTCTTGTGTATAATTCTGTATGTATTTGTCTCATATGTGTGTATATATTTCAGATCCCGGGCAGTATCCGTCCTCACGCCATCGTGCTGCTCCCTCAGACCGCGGGCACAGAGCTGCTGGTCTGTTATGAAGATGAAGGAGTTTACATCGACACTTTTGGGAGAATCACCAAAGACACGGTTCTGCAGTGGGGAGAGATGCCGGCCTCTGTGGGTGAGGAACCAGAGACATACACTCAACCAGTCAAACTTCCTTTATAAAGTGTACAAAAGTGTCACACACAGTCCTTTATAGTCATTAAAAACAACGTCACACGCCCTTTAACTTTTTTTTAACCCTTTGTTTCTTGTAGTGTACCTGCAGAGTGACCAAGTGTGTTAACTCTTTCCCCCCTGGGCGTCTACTAGGAACAACCCATACATATATGACTAGGGCTCCCCTTAGAGCAGGGGTGGGCAAACTACGGCCCGGGGGCTGTATGCGGCCTTTTAAACCTTTTAATCCGGCCCGCCGAACTTGAATAAATTACAATTTAAGTGCTCTGTGTTTACGGAAATTGTCCAAACATGGACGCAGCATTGAGCACCTGGAGATTTTACAGTTCTGGTTTCCGCCTACTTCAGCGCAGAATAGTGACGTTTGTGTCTTGTTGATAACGTGTAGGTCGGATGGATGCGCTTTGGCCGTTCAGACTGAAGTCACATGTCAAAAGATCAGATATGCATCAGTTTCAGGAGCACATATCCAAGTGTCCTGGGTCACATTTGAAAAAATCGGATCTGTGTCGTTCAGACTGTCAATAAAAGATCAGATACAGGAACATAGAAGCCAAAAAATCGTATTTGGGTCACTTCAGGCTGCAGTCTGAACGCAGCCTTAGACTCTGAACTCTTCATTTCTGGATGTTTAAATGTGATTCAACTCATTTACAGGTTTATAACAGCTCACGAAGTCGAATCTGGAATCATGCGCCATTGAGCTCTAGCCTGATTCATCAGCCAGTTTCACTTGGTGGAAACCGTCTGACCTCACAGCGTTAGGATTTGTTCGATTCCAGTCGCTGCTGTTTGGTCGTGACGTTTGTAATGCACCAAATCCTGTAGGAAGAAGAACAATAACGTCTTTCCCCTTGATAAAATTCACCAAACATTCTGTTTGTTCAGGCTTTAAATCCTCGATCTCAGGATTCGTCACCAACACAGAATGTCTGTCTCTTCGCTGATTGGCTGGTGTCTGAACTCGCACTTCCGGGGTTTTTGCGAACCGTCTAGTGTATTCTGATTCCTGATCTAGTCATTAGAGAGAAATGAAATCGAGCGGAGGCACTAGGTGACACCAGCCTGGCTAATTGACTTGAATGGGCGGCCATTTTGAAACTTCAGGACTCGTTCCGGCTCCATGGACTCTGGCTCAAATTGACTTCATATTGAAAAGCTGTGGCTCCTCTCTGTACCTGCTGCTGTCAGACTCCTCATTTTGGTCTTAAAATGTTCGTCTTAACCCACTCTACATGATCCTGGGCTTTTCATTTCCTTATTATGTCCGTAAATAAATTCCTCTTCCTAATATGGAATTCAGCTCCAAAATTCACTCTGTAACTGCAGCCTCAATAAGCTTCATTTGACTGGAGCCACACCTTCCTGCTCTTGTAGCACACCTGCAGAGTGACCAGGTGATGGTTGTTCTGCCTGTGTAAACCCTTTGTCTTGTTGTTATAACATACCTGCAGAGTATGATAGATGTTCTACCTGTGTAAACTCTTTGTCTTTGTTTGATAGTTGTTCTGCCTGTGTTCACCCTTTCTCTTGTTGTTACAGTGTGCCTGCGGCGTATGATAGTTGTTCTACCTGTGTAAACCCTTTGTCTTTGCATGATAGTTGTTCTGCCTGTGTAAACCCTTAGTCTTGTTGTTGTAGTGTACCTGCGGCGTATGATAGTTGTTCTACCTGTGTAAACTCTTTGTCTTGTTGTTGTAGTGTACCTGCGGTGTATGATAGTTGTTCTACCTGTGTAAACTCTTTCTCTTGTTGTTGTAGCTTACCTGCGGCGTGTGATAGTTGTTCTCCCTGTGTAAACTCTTTGTCTTGTTGTTACAGTGTACCTGCAACGTATGATAGTTGTTCTACCTGAGTAAACCCTTTGTCTTCGTATGATAGTTGTTCTGCCTGTGTTCACCCTTTCTCTTGTTGTTGTGGCGTATCTGCAGCGTATGATAGTTGTTCTACCTGTGTAAACCCTTTGTCTTCGTATGATCCTTGTTCTACCTGTGTAAACCCTTAGTCTTGTTGTTACAGCGTACCTGCGGCGTATGATAGTTGTTCTGCCTGTGTTAACCCTTTGTCTTGTTATAGCGTACCAGCAGCATGTGATAGTTGTTCTCCTTGTCTTCACCCTTAGTCTTGTTGTTGTAGCGTACCTGCACCATATGATAGTTGTTCTACCTGTGTAAACTCTTTGTCTTGTTGTTGTAGCGTATCTGAAGCGTATGATAGTTGTTCTGCCTGTGTTCACCCTTTCTCTTGTTGTTGTAGTGTGCCTGCAGAGTAACCAGGTGATTCTTGTTCTACCCGTGTTAACCTTTTCTCTTGTTGTTATAATGTACCTGCAGTGTGTGATAAATGTTCTGCCTGTGTTCACCCTTTGTCTTGTAGTTACAGCGTACCTGCAGCGTATGATAGTTGTTCTGCCTGTGTAAGAGGAGAAATACAGTTTGTCAATTGGACAAAAGTTTATTTAGGTCAAATACGGGAAACATGGACGCGGGATTTTACACGCATCTTGAGAACTTTCTGTTGTCGTCGTAGCGTACCTGCAGAGTAACCAGGCGATGCTTGTTCTGCCTGTGTTCACCCTTTCTCTTGTTGTTGTAGCGTACCTGCAGAGTAACCAGGCGATGCTTGTTCTGCCTGTGTTCACCCTTTGTCTTGTTGTTGTAGCGTACCTGCAGAGTAACCAGGTGATGGGCTGGGGGGAGAAGGCCATCGAGCTGCGTTCTGCCAACACTGGGAGTCTGGAGGGAGTCTTCATGCACAAAAAGGCCCAGAAACTCAAGTTCCTCTGTGAGAGAAACGACAAGGTCAGAACACGCAGCGCACACACACCAACCACTGAATGATCAAAGGTCCTCAAAATGGCGCCCATAAGAGGAAAATGTCATATTCCAGTGTTTCTCAGGGCGGCTGCTGTTTTTCCCCATTTAAAAGCCGTATTTTGTTTTAAAATGTTAATCACTATGGCCATGATCCTTATTTTTCATCATTCTGGACCCATGGATTAAAATGATACCTCCATCGATTTTAGTTCTGAAGAATTTTAGCCTGGTCCTGTGTTTTCACTTTTTTTGTTTTTTTTGTTTTTGTGGGTTTGTGTTCCAGGTTTTCTTTGCGTCGGTCCAGTCTGGAGGCAGCAGTCAGATCTACTTCATGACCCTGGGACACAACTCTCTCTTCAACTGGTGATCTCCTCCTGATTGTTCCTCTGTGTACTCCATTATAACGCACGGGAGGACCACAATCTCACGTTAACCATCCAGTCTGGAGACGTCAGAAACTCGTACACCTCTCTAAACCCTCCGCATGAGACTGGAGACAACGGCAGGTTGATCATCAGCTGGTGATCTCCTTCTCTACATTCCTCTATACTCCATTATAACGCACGGGAGGACCACAATCTCACGTTAACCATCCAGTCTGGAGACGTCAGAAACTCGTACACCTCTCCAAACCTCCGCATGAGACAGGAGACAACGGCAGGTTGATCATCAGCTGGTGATGTCGTTCTCTACATTCCTCTATACTCCATTATAACGCACGGGAGGACAAACAGCTCTTGTAAACAAGCCAGTCTGGAGACAACAGAAACTTGTACACCGCTCCATAGGAATACAACAGCTGGTGAACTCCTCTGTGTTCCTGTGTATACTCCATTATAAATCATGGGAGGACAACAAACTCATGCAAACCGCCCAATCTGGAGACAACAGAAACTTGTGCACCGCTTTGAACCCCCACATGAGACTGGAAACAATAAGAAGTCCATTCCAACTCTATCCTCAGCTGGTAACGCTTTATTTTCCATAAAATACCACGGGAGGATCACATTCTGCACATAAACCATCCGATCTGGAGTCGATACAAACCTGTACACGGCTCCAAACCTCCGTAAAAATACATGAGACCAGAGAGAGCAGCAGGTCCATATGAACTGGACACGATATGATCTTGTACAGTTTCTTGTTGATACTTTGCAGCTGACGTCATCAACATTCTCGAGGGGTGCGACGCTTTTTCTAGAGTTTTCAGACAATCTTCAGGCCCGTTCAGACCGCGGCGTCAAAGGCGTCCAGTTGATACGCAAAGTCTAATGTGTGCGCGCGTCTTGAGGCGTCCTGCGTTTTTGCAGTGCATCTTCGGGCGTCAGTGCGGCGCAGATCTGGCGTTGACGGGGCGTGTCTTGAGTGTTCTGGCGTCCAGGGCGTCGACGTTAGAAGTTGAAAGCGGGAGCCCCAAAAGTTCACAGAGAATAAATATGTAAGACACAATCACCGAGCTGATCACCAGGACTACACCAGGACTGGGCCAGGACTAGACCAGGACTAGACCAGGACTAGACCAGGACTAGACCAGGACTAGGACTAGACCAGGACTGGGACTAGGACTAGACCAGGACTAGACCAGGACTGGACCAGGACTGACTAGACCAGGACTGGACCAGGACTAGACCAGGACTGGACCAGGACTAGACCAGGACTGGACCAGGACTGGACCAGGACTAGACCAGGACTGGACCGAGACTAGACCAGGACTGGACAAGGATCTGACCAGGACTGGACCAGGACTGGACCGGGACTAGAACGGGACTGGACCGGGACTAGACCGGGACTAGACCGGGACTAGACCGGGACTAGACCAGGACTGGACAAAGATCTGACCAGGACTAGACCAGGACTAGACAAGGACCTGACCAGGACTAGACCAGGATTGGACCAGGACTAGACCAGGACTGGACCGAGACTAGACCAGGACTGGACAAGGATCTGACCAGGACTACACCAGGACTGGACCGGGACTGGACCGGGACTAGACCAGGACTGGACCAAGACTGGATCAGGACTGGATCAGGACTAAACCAGGACTGGACAAGGATCTGACCAGGACTAGACCAGGACTAGACAAGGACCTGACCAGGACTAGACCAGGATTGGACCAGGACTAGACCAGGATTGGACCAGGACTAGACCAGGACTGGACTCGGACTGGACCAGTACTGATCCATATACATATTTATACGCCGCAGTCATCGACCTGATCTCCTCCGCTGATGTTTTATGTCATAAAAACACTGAAGTCTTTCTCAGTCTGGTCTGACATCGATTTGGGAAAAGACCAGGACCTTGCGCATGTTTCTAGGGCAACGGACGCGCGTCAAGTATTTTCCTCCCGTTCATCCACGGCGTCTGAACTCCAAATAGAGACGTCTAGGGCGTTTCCGACCATCAGACCTTTTTTTTTTTGGCCGTGTTTCCTAATGTGTCGTGTCACCATGGTTACCGCTGAACACTCCACCATTAGAGATACATGTAGAGCACCCCGGAGCGATGTCACGGCAAAGTATCAATAAGAATCGGTGAGACTGGAGCTGCACAGTGACAAAAAAAAAAAAAAAAAAAGCATTTAAACTTGAACTGGGACCAGCAGTTTTCCCCAAACTTCCGAGACCGTCCACGGATAACCTGGAATGCGGTCGCTTTTTTTTTTTTTTTTTAACATTTCAAAGCTGCACTACGTAGCCTGCGCGTCTCCATGGAGATGTTATTGCTTATTATGTTCCACAGTATGGCTTTATCTTTCTTGTATTTATCCAGTTACGTGTGTTTTTTATTCCTATTTTCCTCTTATTCCAAATAAAAAGATAAATAATAGAGTATAAATAAGTTTAATGCTTTACTGTGGGACATTTGAGGCAACGCGATGACCTGTCTATGGACAAAGGTTACGCAGCGCAGCTTTAGAGCCTCGAGGAACTCTTAAAACTGCATTCCCGTGACATTTTTCATTCCATCTGCCGCCAAGAAGAAGCCGAAGGTTCAGTTCCCAAATTCCACGAAGACGCTGACAAATCTCGAGATCCTGGAAACGAGGAGAACGAGGGGAACTGGCTTCACAAATTCGAATCGGAGCGGAAATGACTCTTTTTTTTTTTTGCAGAAATCCGGAGAAAGAAACGTTTTGTGTTGGTTTGTGAAGATGGAAGGTTATTGTGTAATTATTGTATTTTCTGACAAAAACTGAATATTTTATACTTTACGGAGGAAGTTCAGTGCAATGGACATCACTTGAAAGCATTTAAGTCAGTATTATTCCGCCGTACGTGCACTCCATTTGTTTTTATAAGAGAAAGAAGCGACGCACGGCTCTGGGATTTAGAGTCGCCTTTAATAAAAACAATTATGCAACTTTGAAATACTGAAGACTGAGGGAACATGAGCAAAAACGGAAGCATTTTCATATCGATTTCATGTAAACAAAAAAATACAGTAAGGGAACAAAAACACAGATGATATTAGCCTAGACCTGGTTTAGTCCTGGTTTAGACCTGGTTTAGACCTGGTTTAGACCTGGTTTTAGGCCTAGTTTTAGTCCTAGTTTAGTCCTGGTTTAGTCCTGGTTTAGATCTGGTTTAGACCTGGTTTAGACCTGGTTTAGTCCTAGTTTAGTCCTGGTTTAGACCTGGTTGAGACCTGTTATAGACCTGGTTTAGACCTGGTTTTAGGCCTAGTTTTAGTCCTAATTTAGTCCTGGTTTAGGCCTGGTTTAGACCTGGTTTAGACCTGGTTTAGGCCTGGTTTAGACCTGGTTTAGACCTGGTTTAGACCTGGTTTAGACCTGGTTTGAGACCTGTTTTAAGACCTGGTTTAGACCTGGTTTAGACCTGGTTTAGTCCTGGTTTAGACCTGGTTTAGACCTTGTTTTAGGCCTAGTTTTAGTCCTAGTTTAGTCCTGGTTTAGGCCTGGTTTAGACCTGGTTTAGACCTGGTTTAGTCCTGGTTTAGACCTGGTTGAGACCTGTTTTAGAACTGGTTTAGTCCTGGTTTAGACCTGGTTTAGACCTGGTTTAGATCTGGTTTAGATCTGGTTTAGACCTGGTTTAGACCTGGTTTTAGGCCTAGTTTTAGTCCTAGTTTAGTCCTGGTTTAGACCTGGTTTAGTCCTGGTTTAGACCTAGTTTAGTACTGGTTTAGACCTGGTTTAGTCCTGGTTTAGACCTGGTTTAGACCTGGTTTAGGTCCTTGTTAATCCCTAATTAGATCTGGTTTAGATCTGGATTAGTCCTGATTTAGTCCTGTTTTTGTCTTAGTTCAGTCCCTGGTTTAGACCTGGTTTAGTCCTGGTTTAGACCTGGTTTAGTCCTGGGTCGGTTACCGATTTAGTCCTGGGTTAGTACCTGGTTTAGTCCTGTTTACTTCTGGTTCACTCCCTAGTTTAGTCCGAGTTCAGTCCCTGGTCTAGTCCTGGTTTAGACCTGGTTTAGACCTGGTTTAGACCTGATTCAGTCCTGGTTTAGTACCTGGTAGACCTGGTTTAGTCCTGCATCGGTTACCGGTTTAGTTCTGGTTTAGACCTGGTTCATCCTGGTTTTGTAGTTTAGTCCTGGTTTTGTCCCTAGTTTAGTTTGGGTTCAGTCCCTGGTTTAGTCTTGGTCTAGTCCTGGTCTAGTCCTGGTTTAGACTTGGCTCAGTCCTGTTTTTGTCTTAGTTCAGTCCCTGGTTCAGTCCTGGTTCAGTCCTGGTTCAGTCCTGGTTTAGACCTGGTTTAGTCCCGATTGTGTCTCCACAGCCTTGATCAGAATTTCCAGTTTTATTGAAGGAAATTTAAGTTTTTAAAAGACAAATGAATAAATCAGCAGCAGATCCATAAAATCTTCTTTATATCCTGTTTTTATTTTGGTATAAATGTGTATTTTTCAACACTGTTTCTAAAATGTTAAAGGTTTTGTGTAAATACTGTTTGAAATGCACTGTTTTCTGTGCTACTTCGAGCCATGAGTTTGTCTTTGAGGATTTTATGTGAACGGAAAATATCTGTTTATAAAATTATCCAGGGAAAAAAAAAAAAAACTGACACAAAATATTCTAGATTTTAAAAAAAATCTGTAGTTTTTTAACACATTGTCCAATTATCAATTTGAAGTTTTAAAGATGTTTTTGAGGAGTTTTTACTTTGATCACTGGACAATATTGGAAATTCTAACCATTTAAATTTGACTTTTTTTTTTTATTGTGCAAAAAATCTAAAAAAAAAATAAATAAAATTTATGAAATCAACCAAAAATTTTTACATTTATGCAAAAAATATCTTGATTTTTAGTTGAAATACAGTACGAAGCTGCAACTGCGTAACTTTTCTCCACGGCGATGTTAATGCTTCTGCTTGGAATTTTCCACATTTCGGCATTAAAAGTATCCGTCTCCGTGGAAACAAGGAGAGGGACGACATCAGGCCGAACTACAGGTCAGGTCTGTGGAGAAGCGAGCCAGCGCGACGGTTAAAAATGCGTTTGTTGAGCAACGCAAAGTGAACAAATGCGAGATAGACGCTGTAGGTTTAATGCCAAACTGCGGAACATTCCCGACGAAGCGGTGACATCTCCATGGAGACGAGGAGCTCCACCGTGTTTTATTGTTTTTTCAAAATGTGAGTGTGTCTTCGTTGAATTTTGGGAATTGGATAAATCTTACTGAACCAGGACTAAACCAGGACTGAAAACGGTTTAGTCCTGGTTTAGTTTAGGTCCTGGTCTCAGTCCTGGTCTCAGTCCTGGTCTGGTCCTGGTCTCAGTCCTGGTCTCAGTCCTGATCTGGTCCTGGTCTCAGTCCTGGTCTCAGTCCTGGTCTCAGTCCTGGTCTCAGTCCTGGTCTCAGTCCTGGTCTGGTCCTGGTCTCAGTCCTGGTCTCAGTCCTGGTCTCAGTCCTGGTCCCTGGTCCTGGTCGGTCTCAGTCCTGGTCCTGGTCTCAGTCCTGGTCTCAGTCCTGGTCTCAGTCCTGGTCTCAGTCCTGGTCCTGGTCTCAGTCCTGGTCTGGTCCTGGTCTCAGTCCTGGTCTGGTCCTGGTCTCAGTCCTGGTCTCAGTTCTGGTCCTGTTCCTGGTTTCAGTCCCGGTCTAGTCCTAGTCTCAGTCCAGTCTGGTCCTGCTCTCGGTCCGGTCTGGTCCCGCCTTGGTCCCGGTCTCCGTCCCGGTTTAGTGGTCTCGGTCTGGTCCCGAACCTGGTTTAGTCCTGTTTTTAGTCCTGTTTTTAGTTCTGGTTCGGTCCTGTTTTAGTCCTATTTTAGTCCTGGTTCAGTCCTGGTTTAGTCCCAGTTCAGTCCTGGTTTAGTCCTGGTTTAGTCCTGTTTTAGTCCTAGCTCAGTCCTGGTTCAGTCCTGGTTCAGTCCTGGTTTAGTCCTGGTTTAGTCCTGGTTCAGTCCTGGTTCAGTCCTGGTTTAGTCCCGGTTCAGTCCCGGTTCAGTCCCGGTTCAGTCCCGGTTTCAGTTTAGTCCGGTTCAGTCCCGGTTCAGTCCCGGTTCAGTCCAGTCCTGGTTTAGTCCCGGTTCAGTCCCGGTTAGTCCCGGTTTAGTCCTGGTTT